TGTGGGGGTGCAGCAGCGCTGCAGTGCCGGGGCAATGGGATTGCTCCTCCCGGCAATGGGATTCCCTTTGGGAATCCCAGTCCCACAGCCCAACACTGACATCTTGTGGTGCCCCAGAGCTCGGCTGGGAAGGGGAACCCTCGGAGATACCTGCGGGAAGGTGGAGAGGTGGCTCAGGGTCCTGCCGTGATGGCTGCGTGTCCTTTCCCCACAGTGTGCGGCTGCGACCTGGCCCAGTCGGGTTTTTTCTTCAAGAACCAGGAGTACATCTGCACCCACGACTACCAGCAGCTCTACGGGACCCGCTGTGACAGCTGTGGGGACTTCATCACCGGAGAGGTCATCTCTGCCCTGGGCAGGACCTACCACCCCAAGTGCTTTGTCTGCAGCACCTGCAGGTGAGTGGGAATTGTCACCGCCAAGGCTTGGTGACCCCTTTGGAGAAGCCCTGACCTGGAGCTCCCTGCTGGTCCCGGGAAAGGAGGAGCTCCTGGGCAGCCCTGGGTGGAGGGGGATGAGGAGCTGACCCCTCCCCACCTGTCCTTGGCTGCAGGAAGCCGTTCCCCATCGGAGACAAGGTCACGTTCAGCGGGAAGGACTGCGTCTGCCAAAACTGCTCCCAGTCCCTGCTCAGCACCAAACCCATCAAGATCCACGGGCCCAGCCGTGAGTGATCCTGTGATGGACACAAAGAGAGGGACCCTGTGTCCCTGAGAGGGTGACAGGACAGGAGCTGGGGCCACTGTGCAGCCCTGTGGGTGTCACAGAGGTTTGGGAGGAGGGAGGGGCAGTCCTGAGGGTGCACCCAGCATTGGAGCTCAGAGCTGGTTTGGGGAGCTCCTCTGGGCTGTTTGTGACCTGGGCAGGTGGCACCACCCTGGCAGGAGCTGTCTGAGCTCATGGGGATGGTTTTGGGAGCTCCTCTGGGCTGTTTGTGACCTGGGCAGGTGGCACCACCCTGGCAGGAGCTGTCTGAGCTCGTGGGGAGGTTCTGGAGCTGACTTTGCTCAGAGTCAGCTGCCTTGTGTCCAAGTGCCTGCCCTGGGAATCCTCCTGGCACTTTCACTGCACTGGCGTTCCTTGCTGGGTCTGCAAGCACTGGAAGGGTTTTTCAGCTCATCCCCTTGCCCTGGTGAGCCCCAGGGAGCCCCTGGAGCCATGGATAAGCTCTTTTGGGTGGGTTTGGCCTTGCTGTTGACCCCAGGTTGGGAGGTTTTGACCCCAGGTTGCTTCCCTTCCTGCCAGTGCCTAACACAGAGTCCTGCAGAGGGCCAGAGCCAGGACTGGGTGTCACTCCCGGTCCTTGTCACCCACCCCGAGTCACCATGGTGGCACTGCTGGTGGTGGGGTTGGTGCTGCTGGACCCTCTGTGAGCCCCCAGGCTGCCTCTCTGCCCCCAGCCCTCCATGGAGGGGTTGGACTGAGCCAAGGACAGGAATTCCCTCATCTCCCTCCACGGGCTCTCGGAGCTGCCCAGAGCCAGGCTCTGCCTCCCTCCCGCCTTCCTCTCCCTCCCCATCCCCTTCCCGGCGCTCCTCCAGCCCTGCAGCGGGGTCACCTGAGGACACCACGCCTTATTCACGGCAGCTGCAGGCACCAGAGCCTGTCCCTGCCCGCCCTGGTGGCGCTGGCACTGCCACCAGCAGGGTGCCAGGGGAGCTGTGCTGGCTCTGGTGCATTCCATAGGGAAGGCATTCCTAAAAGGAGGATGCCAAGCCTCTCCCTGCAGCCCCAGCCCTACAAACAACCCCAAACCAGCAGGACCTGAATGAGGGAACAGATCCTGCTTTTTTTTTTTTCCCAGGGTGAAAAAAAGATTTTCAGGAATCTTCCCCCCTTTGGTGGAGCAGGCAGGGATTTGGCACGGAGCAGCGTGGGATGCTCCTGCTTTCCCCATGGCAGGGATGGGGTTAAAGAAAACCCCTCTCCAGGCAGACCTGGTGGCCAGGGGAGGAGAGGACAAGCAGGAGCCAAGGTCAGGGGTCTGAGGTCCATGTGCTTCCTGCTGCAGCCCTGCTGGAGCCAGGGGAAGCAGGGGAGGAAGGGAGGACAGCACAGCCCTTCCTCTGCCGGACACTGCCCAGCCTTGGGCACCTGCCAGGCCCTCCCACAGCCCAGCACAGCCCAGCCAGGCTGGGAAAGACCTTTGAGATCATCCAGTCCAACCTGTGACCTAACAGCTCTTCATCAACCAAGCCACAGCACCGAGTGCCATGTCCAGGCTTTTTTTTAAAAACACCTCCCTGGGCAGATGATTCCATGGCCCAATCACTCTTCCAGATAAGAATTTATTTTTTTTCCTGATGTCGAACTGGCCTGGCTCAGATTTGTCACCCCGTGCTGTGGCTGAGTGCCAGCTGTACCTCAGAGTTTCCCAGCTTTTCCTCCTGGTTCCTGTGCTGGGGACAAGCGGAGGTGACAGATTTCTGTAAGGAAATGATCCCCACAAGGCTGCCTGGGGAGCGGGGTGTTTGTAACAGCAACATCCCTGGAAATGTCCTGCAGGGCAGGGCTTTGCTTTGGGTGTGAGTGAGGGGAGTGCCAGGTGACACACAGCAGCTGTGGGTGTCCCTGCCGTGTCCCCATCCCCTCGTGTCCCTGCCGTGTCCCCATCCCCTCCTGTCCCTGCTGTGTCCCCCATCCCGTCGTGTCCCTGTCCTGTCCCCCATCCCCTCCTGTCCCTGCCGTGTCTCTGCCGTGTCCCACGTCCCCTGCTGTCCCCCCAGACTGTGCCGGCTGCAAGGAGGAGATCAAGCAGGGCCAGTCGCTGCTGGCCCTGGAGAAGCAGTGGCACGTCAGCTGCTTCAAGTGCCAAACGTGCGGGATCATCCTCACGGGCGAGTACATCAGCAAGTGAGTGTCACCGTCCTGCGACATCCCCGGGCTGTCCCCGGAGCTGGGGCTGTGGCCGGGGGCTCACCTGCCACTCGTCCCTTCTGTCCCTGTCCCCAGGGATGGCATCCCCTACTGTGAGTCCGACTACCACGCCCAGTTCGGCATCAAGTGCGAGACCTGTGACCGCTACATCAGCGGCCGTGTCCTGGAGGTGAGTCCTGGGGCTGCCGGCTGGGTGACAGGGACATGCTCTGGGGAGGTGTGGCAGGTGCCACCCTCCATCTCTGGGGGCTGTGGCTCATCCTGCAGCAGCTCTGTCACAGCTTCTCCAGAGGGTGGGGGAACAACTCCTTGGGTACTGGAGCTTGGGAAAACAGAAACTGGGGTACTGGAGTTTAGGAAAATAAAACCTTGGGTACTGGAGTTCGGGAAACAACACCTTGGATATTGGAGTTTGGGAAAATAAAACCTTGGGTATTGGAGGTTAATTTAAAGGCTCAGGAGGCACAGAGAAGGAAGCCTGGTGTGAATTTTAGACCCCGTGATGGCACGGAGAGGCAGCAATGCTGGAATTGTGCTCTGTCACTCCTGAGACCTCCCTTTCCACATGGCTGAGCAGGAGGGAAGGGCTCCCACACCCCTGCCAGCCCCAGGCTGCAGTGACAGAAACCTCATCCCAAAATCAGAGGTGCCAGGGCTCTGCAGGTGGGCTGGGGTGGCAGTGGCTGTGTGAGTCCCCAGCCCGTTTAGAGTTGTCCCAGGACATTTTCAGCCCGTTTAGAGCTGTCCCAGGACGTCCCCAGCCTGTTTAGAGTTGTCCCAGGATATTTCCAGCCCGTTTAGAGGGGTCCCAGGATGTTTCCAGCCTGTTTCCTCCCTATTCCTGCCAGCCAGGCTGGCCTGGGAGTTCCAGCCTGCCCAAGGACCATCTCCTGGAGCTGGAACAAATTTCCAGGAGCCTCCCAGCCCCTGTGCCCAGCCTGGGGGGCTGTGTGAGCCTTTCTGCTGACTCCGGGCTCCAGCAGCAATCCCAGCCCTGCTGGGAACACGAGCTCAGCACTGCAGCAGCTGCCCCAGCTCCAGCATGAGCTCACTGGGTCAGCAAATCTGAACAGAGCAGGACAAAGCCCTGACAGCAAATCCTCAAATCCCTGCTGCTGCTGCTCCTCTGGGCAGTGCCAGCCCCCAAGAGCCCCCGTGCCAGGAGAGAGCATCCTCGGGCACCCATGGGTGTGAGCAGGGTGGTGTTACCTGGCTTGGGAGCAGCAGGAGAGGAGCCAGAGGGGGCCTGGGATTCCTGTCATAAAATCATGGGATGGGATGGGTTGGAAGAGACCCCAAAGTTCATCTCATTCCAACCCCCCTGCCCAAATTCCACTGTCCCAGGTTGCTCCAAGCCCCATCCAGCCTGGCCTTGGACACTTCCACTGAGCTCCTCACCCTCCCTGGGATGTGCCTGTGCATCCAGGGGCTTTGATTGTCCTCTCTGTCAGAGTGGGAAATGGAAAGGGCGCCTTTAAATAATTGTAGGCATTAAGGAGCCTCCTGGTGCTATCCTGGCAGCCTCCAGCCATTCCCAACTGCTCCAAGCTGCCCAGCCAGGCTTGGATGATTAATGAGTCTTTAAGGGACCCCAGTGATAATGAGCAGGTCCCTTCCCTCACAGCTCCACCAGCCTTGTACAAGCTGCAATAATGACCAGAATGAAAGGAATGAGGTTTGTGCATGGTTTGGAGGAGTTCTGGGTGGCTTTTGGAGAAGGTGTGTGATGAAATGGAGGTTGGGAATGGGCTGGGACATTGCTGGGGGAGCAGCCAGCCTCCCTCCACATGGAATGGTTTGGGTTGGCACAGGGCTGTCCCCTCCCTGCACTGTAAGGAAAGGAAGAGGGCTCCAAACTCTCCAAACTCATCCTCCTGCCTGTCCTAAAACCTTTTAATTTTTGGGCATAAACTGGAGGGACTGGCTGCCATCTGCACCCCAAGGACATTAAATTCCAGGTGGATTTTAAGGGCAGCCCAGGTTCTCAGTTATCCTTGCAGCAAATTTCCCTGTTGATCCTCTTGTTTCCAGCCCCCTCCATCATAACCCTCCTCTTTATAAGCAAAAGCCTCATCTTCCCTCTGCCACCTTCAATTATTCTCCCTCTTCTCCTGGTTTATCACGGGAGTATAAAGTCCTTTAGGGTTGAGATTCCTCCTGCCCTGAGCTGGCTCCCAGCTCCCAGCCCATAATTGAAATGCTAACAGACACTTGGAGGGGGAGCAAGCTCCCAAATTCAGCTGTTAGCCCTGTCCAAGGAGCTGAAGGAGCAGCCCAGCTTCCTCTCAGCTGGGGCAGAGCCTGTCCCTAGCACTGAAATTGGAGCAGAGAAGGAGGAAAGTTCCTGTATGGAGAGGAACTGGAGTGATGGGGAGGTTTTTGGGGTCCTCCTTCTCTGTGCTGTGGCATCTGGGGCCAAATTTGCTGTTTCTCTTCAAATCTGTGGAGAAGGAGCTGGTGCAAAGCCTGGCTGCAGAGGGTCCTGGCCATCCCCAGAGTGTCAGCTTTGTGGGGACACTGTCCCTGAAGGTTTGGGACCTCCTGGCTCTGTTGGGTGTTGAACATTTTGAGGAGAGCAGAAGGTTTCTCGCAGCCCAGCAGGGTGAAAGCAGGGATGAACACTCTCTGGTTCTCTCCATGGGATGTGGAGGTGTCCAAGGCCACCCCAGACAGTTTGTTCACGTTGTCACTGCCAGCAGGGAGGGCTGGAGGGGTCACTGAGGGACAGGGGCGGGTCGGGGTGTGCTGCCCTGCTCAGGGGCTCCTCTCTGCTCCCCCGTGCAGGCAGGAGGGAAGCACTACCACCCCACCTGTGCCAGATGTGTGCGCTGCCACCAGATGTTCACAGAGGGAGAGGAGATGTACCTGACAGGTAGGGCTGTGACCAGCATGGCTGGGGGGATTTGGGGTTTGGGTCCTTAGGGCATTTGGAAGGGTTTCTCTGTGCAGCAGTGCCAGAAATCCCCCCTGTCCACTGCTCTGCGACTCCTGTGTGCAAAAATCACTGCTCTGCACGAAACCTTCCCTGCACAGCTGGCAAAGCCCAACCTCTGCTCACTGCAGCCCAAAGGGTGGAGGTGTTGTGGTGCCCCAAGCTCAGTGTCACCCCAGTTTAACCAGCAGGAGCAGCTTGAGCCACCCCAAATCCACCTGAATTTGCTGTCCCAGCTGAGGTTTGACCCCTGCCCACTGGAGCTGTCCCGTCCCTTACCACAGACTGTCCCCACGTTCCTGTGGCACTGCTGGAGGTGGCAGGGACACAGCAGGGGGACCGGGCTGACCCCTGGCAGGGGGGTGACCGTGTGTGGGGCTGACACTGTCCCTGTGCTGCCTTGCAGGCTCTGAGGTGTGGCACCCCATCTGCAAGCAGGCAGCCAGAGCAGAGAAGAAGCTGAAGGTAGGCAGAGGGTGAGGGGCACCTCGAGGGGTGGCACCTCCCAGGTGCCATTGTCCTCCAGTCCCTGCTGGACTTGAACTGTTCTGGCAGTGCCCAAACCTGCAGTGGCATCCTGAGCCTGCCCAGGATGATGGGTGGAAGTGAAATTCAGCCCCCAAACCAACAATTTGGGGTCACTCCATGCCGTGCTCTCACCTGCCCTCCCCGTTTGTGCCTCCACAGCACAGGAGGACGTCAGAAACCTCCATCTCCCCCCCTGGCTCCAGCATTGGCTCCCCAAACCGTGTCATCTGCGTAAGTCCAGCCCTGCCCCTCGCCCAGGGCCCCAGGGATGGGAACAGCAGCTCCCAGGGATGGGAACAGCAGCTCCCAGAGCTGCTCTTCAGCGGGACAAGCCCAAAATTTGGGGACAGCACGGACAAATCCCCAGCGGTGCCGTGGCACAGCTCAGAGGGGCACAGTGCTGCCCTCCCAGCTCCTCCACCTCCCTCTGCTGCCTCTCACCTGTGCTCTCACCTGTCCCTGCTGCTGGGGTGGCAGTGGGCTCTGTCTGCCCTGTGCTGGCTCCACACTGTGCGCTCCAGCCTCCCTTCCCTTCTCTCCTCCTCTTCCTTTCCGTCTCTCTGTCTCTGTCTCTCCCTCTCCCTAGGCTAAAGTGGATAATGAGATCCTTAATTACAAAGACCTGGCAGCTCTTCCCAAGATTAAAGCCATCTATGAAGTGCAGCGTCCTGACCTCATTTCCTACGAGCCCTATCACAGATACACGTCGGATGAGACGCTGGAGAGATATAGCTATGGGGAGGTACTGAGACTGCAGAAACGCTGCCGGGAGGAGCAGGATGGGCCCCAGGCTCGGGGAGAGCCTTGTGGGGGTCTGTTCATGCCAGTGGGAACAGTGCAGGGAGGCAGGAGTGGGGCAGGAGCTCTCCCAGAGGTTTGGGGAGGGTTTGTGATGGAGGTAAAGTGGTGATGCTGTAGAGTCAGAAAGGTACCAGTGACCTCAGGACATGTGCAGGGACAGACAGTGCTGTGTGAGAGGAGTGATGGGCAGGGAGTTCATCCCTCACAGCCCTGAGCCTGGCCCCTGGCAGATAATCCTGCAGCCCAGCCAGCACAGCACCTCTGGAGCACCTCTGGAGCAGGGGTCCCCTGTTGGCTGCTGGCCCTGCAGCCAGGGAAGGGGCTGGGGCAGTGCTGAGGGGATGCTCAGGCACAGAACTGTCCTGCCTGCCCAGCTGGGGCTGCTGGATGAGTTCAGGGAGCCCATGGGAGAAGAGCAGCTCACACAGGTGGGGCACCTGAAGTGGTGCTGGAACAGGATTTGGCAGCAGCATCTCTTCCATCCCCAAGGTTTTGTCACAAGCCTGGTGTCCTGCAGCCCACCCAGGATGGTTTAGGCAGCGTGGCCATGACCCCCTGTGCCTCCCCCTGTGCACAGAGGTGTCTGAGAGGTGACAGCTGCTGATCCCTCCTGCCACTTCCTCTCCTGCCCAGTGTGCTGCCCAGTTCAGCTCTGGCTGTACACCAGTGCCCCTCACTGCCCAGTAACTCAGAGCTGCTGTGGACCCCCAGTCTGTCACTGCTCTCTTAACCATGTGCTGTCTCTCTCTCTCTCTCTCTTTTTTCCTCCTCACTTTTCCTCCTGCTGCCTCCAGTCCCTGGGGACCCTCTCCCCATACTCACAGGTAATGCCCCTGTGGGCACTGCGTTTGTCACCTGCTGCTGTCACGGGATGTCCCTCTGCCCAGAGGCTCTGCTGATTGTCCCCTGGGCTGTTGGCTGCCCCAGGGTGTGGGGAGATGGGGGGGTGGGACTGTCCTGTCCTTCAGGCTCCAAAGAGAGCAGAATGTCCCCAGGGTGCAGCCTCTGCCCCATGGAGGGAGACACCAATAACTGGGAACAAGTTCAGGGGAAAGGGACAAACTCCAGGCACAAAACCTCTGTCACCTGGTCCCAAAACCTGGCCTTTGCTGCCTGTGCCTTGGCAGGGGGGAGGCAGGGCAGGCTGGGGACACCTCCAGCCCCAGAGGACACAGCCACTGCCCAGTGTCACACACAGAGCTGCCCCAGGCAGGGGACCCCCATCCGTGGGACACCTCCTGCCAGCTCTAACCCCGCTCTCTCCGCACCTTTCCTGCCCCCAGGACATCTACGAGAGCTTTGACACGCGGCAGAGACGAGCCTCCAGCCCTGGCTACATCGACTCCCCCACCTACAGCCGCCAGGGCATGTCCCCCACCATCCCCAGGTCCCCCCACCATTTCTACCGCTCAGGTGAGGATTTCGGCAGCAACCCAGGCTGAGCTGAGCTCACAGCACCAAGCGGAGAGAGGATCACAAAAATATCTCTGGCATTTCTGTGGTTTCTCACCTGGCAAGCAGCAGGAGGCCCGGGGTGGCCCGTGGTGGGAGCAGTGCCCACCTCTGCACATCCTCTGCTTCTCCAAACTCCTGCGAGGAGAATTTGGGGCTCAGGCACGAGCTGAGGCTCGTGGAGGATGGGGTGGGAGTCAGGTGAGCTCCAGCTCTGGTGAAAACCCCTCGGCTGCGTTGGTGGCTCTGGGAGGGCTGTGCAGGAGCCTGCTTGTGCCCAGGGAGCTCCTTGCACATGCACGCACGCCTGGAGCATGGCAGAGTGCGCCTGGGCCGTGCCTGCTGTGCTCTGGAGCTGTGGAGGAAGGACAGGAGCACTCTGAGGTCACCCAGAGCCCCGCTGCCCTGCCGAGGGCTCGTCACCTCCTGCCTCTGCAGCACGCTCGGCTTTCCTGGCAGCGTTGGGGCAGCGCTGCCCCGGGCCGGGCACGCACCGGGATTTCCTCCCGCATCCCGGGAAATCTCCAATCTCCCCATTCTCCATCACTGCCACTCCTGGACCGCATCCCGGCGCACATCCCCCGCCACACCGGCTCAGCGCTGCTGTTCTAACACCGCTGCATTTAACACCCATTTTCTTGTGCCTCTTGTTCTCTCTCTCACGGGTCACTCACGGCTGCTTCTGCTCGGCCCCGCGTAGGCACCGAGAGCGGGCGCAGCTCGCCCTACTATAGCCAGTTAGATGTGAGGTCCTCCACTCCAACCTCATACCAAGCGCCCAAGCATTTCCACATCCCAGGTAGGCTCCGGAGCGCCCCGCAGCCCCGGGGAGCGCCGTGTCCGTGGCATGCCCGCATGTTGTCCCCGCTGTGTCGCATGCCTAGCTCCGCCGCCTGCCTAGAGCCAGCTGGCAGCAGGATCTACCCCTGGTAGAGGCCATCCATAAACAGGACCTACGGCTCGAACCTTCCTCTTTTCTCCTCCTCCCCTGTCACCACGCGGAGGTCTCAGAGCTGCCCGGAGTCTGCTTGATCCTTGCAACATCCCTGTCCTTCCTCTTCCCTGCCCTCCCTCCACTCCCCACACGAAGATGAGTGTCCTGGTGAGAGCCTGTCCCCCATCCCCTGCCTTGTCCCCAGGGTCACCAAGCCGGAGCGTGTCTGCCAGAGGCGTTTCCACAGCCATCCTACAGATGACTATTTTATACTCCCCCTAGGGCCCGCCGCTCCCTCCCCCCAGTGTCTTCTGGGCTTGCCAGATGCCTGCTCCCCTTCTGCAGGGATTGCAGGGGGCCACCAGGTAAGGGCCACCAAGCCGCTCCCGGCCACGCAGAGCCCACGGGGACGGGGACAAGAGCGGGCAGGAAGGGAGAGAGCGGGTTGGGAAGCAGGCAGAGCTGCCCAGCACCCCTCAGCGGGGTCAGAACCCCCCTCCCTCCGCACCATCCACTCAGCTGTTGGCATCTCCCCGTGCCCCAAAAGCGTGGCACCCTCCCTGATGCCCTGAGGACAGCCAGAGGCTCCCCCCAGCTCCTCTCCCATCCCATCCCTGCCCTCCCACTGCCAGTTTATGGATGGCCCCGTCCCTGCTCCAGCTCCAGGCTCCATCCAGCTCGCTTTCCCTCCCGACTCGCTCTTTTCTCTCTGTCTCTGCTGCGGAAAGAGGCTTTGGCTGATGCTGGCTCGCCCCAGGTAGCTCGCAGGCGGTTCTTGCAGGTGCTGGCACCCCGAGAACGCGCCCCGGGTGCCTCGCTGCCGGCTGGCAGGGCTGTGCCCCCCTGTGCCCGGGTGCATGCTGTGGCTGGGCGCTCACTGCATGTCCTGTCACACCGTGCTCCCTGTGCCCGGAGCCCTCCCGGGCCACTCGTGGGCTCGGGGACCGGTGTGTGATGGAAATGTGGCGTGGGGGGTGGCGGCTCCTGCAGGACCCGTGTCCTGTGCGCTCCCAGCACGCCCGCACTGATCTCCCTTTCCCCTTTCTTCCTTCCCTTTCTCTTCTCCCACCAGCTGCTGGCGAGAGTAACATCTACAGGAAGCCTCCCATCTACAAACGCCACGGTACGGTCTGGCTGCTGTGTCCCTGTCCCCGTGTCACCCCGGGGAGGGGTCTGGGTGGGAGATGGGGCAGGCAGGCATCAAGGTTTGGGTGCTGGGCTTTGGTGGGATGCTCCAGGGCAGCAGGGTGGGTTCAGTAGGGGACAGGCGTGATTTTAGACCGTGTCCCTGTCGTGAGGGATGGAGCAAAGGCTGGCAGTGACACCAAGGACAGGTGTGGGAGGGGCAGCAGGGTCTTGGTGGGGTGGCAGAGGGGGTAAAGGAGTCAGAGCAGCCTCAGAAAAGGGATGAAAAATCGCAATTTGCAGTTTCACATGCAAAAAAAAAAGATGGAGAAAAATCACAGCCCATCCAGCATGAAACAGACCTGGGGGTGTGGCAGCTTGGGGAGGGTGTTTGGTGACCCTTGGTATTTGGTGGCCCTCGGTGTTTGGTGGCTCTCAGTGGGGCTGGCTTGCACTGTCCCCGCTTGCTGCTGCTCAGGGAGGGCCAGCAGCTCCCCCAGGGCAGTAACTGTGTCTCCTCTCTCTCCCCGGGCTCTCCCCTCCCTCCTGCCCAATCCCTGCTGGCTGCTCCTGCTGCTGTAAGTACCTGCTGGGTCCCCTGTTCCTGCTGCTGGTGGGATGGCTCTGCCACCTCCTGTCCCTGCTGCTCCTGCCCCTGTGACTCTCGTGGCCCCTGGTGCAGCAGAACTCTCCCCTGGGCTCCCCCGGGTGCTGTTGAGGCTCTGTCCCCAGCCTGAGCACTCTGTGTGTCCCTGCCAGAGCCCCTCTGCTGCCACCTTTCCCTGGCAGAACCCCGAGAGCCCCATCCCTGATGGGTCTGAGCCTTCCTCCATCCCCTCTGTGGCACTGGTGGCACCTCAGCCACATCAGTGACATCCCCTGCTTGTCACTGTCCCTGTCCCAGACACAAATCCCTGGCACTCCCTGGGGAGGGAAGAGGATTTGCCCTCATTTGGGGTGGATCTCTGCACATGCTCACCTTGGCTCTGCCCTCTCCTTTTGCAGACAACCCCTCTGCAGCCACGAAAAGCAAAACCAGCGAGGACATCTCTCAGTCGTCCAAGTACAGCCCTGCCTACTCCCCAGATCCCTACTACCACTCTGAGTCAGAATATTGGTCCTTCCAAGGCTCACCCAAAGGTAACAAATTCCCCTAGGGCTGGGAGAAAGGGAAACTCATTCCTGCCTCCGCATTTTCTGGGAAGAAAAAAAACCCATTTTGAGTTGGGTCTGGACACAAAAGCGGGGTTGGGCTGAGATACCTGCCGAGGTGATGCCAAAACTCGAGGAGTCTCAATTGTCCCCATGCAGCTGGGGACTGTCCCCTCCCTGCCTGTCCCCATTTGACCCCTGTCGTGTCTCCTTGCAGCTCCCCGGGCCCGCAGGTTCTCCTCAGGTGGCGAGGAGGATGGCTACGACCGGGGCATGCACAAGGTGAGTGCCAGCCCAGCTGGGCACAGAGCCAGCACCAAACTGGTCCAAATTGGCTCTGGGGAGAAGGTTCAGCCCAGCTCTGCCACCTGAGGAGGTGCCACCACCCTCCTTGCTGTCCTCTGCCATCTCCTGGCCAGGAGGGGACAGATACATATATATATAACATATAACCTATATATATATATAATATATCCAATAGATATATAAAGGAAACTTTGGCTTGAATTAAATCTTACAGTTCAAATGATGGTCCTAGAAGTGGTCCTGATTTGTGTTCATGAAGCATTTCCTTGATAATTTGAGAAATGTAAACTCGAAATTTATCACGGTTTGGTTTGAGAGAAAGCTAAAATACTGGTAAGAAACTTGAGAGGCATAAATCTTCAAGTTTCTTCTTTAAAGAAATTCAAAACTTATTAATTCATAATGAGAGCATTACAAAGAAGGGGGAGAGCATCCCCTTGCCCAGACACCTCATCCTCAGGTGCTGGGACTCACCTCAGGACATTCAGATGAATTCTAGAGCTCAGAGGAAGAGAATGAGAAGACTTTTTTGGAAAGGCTAAACTCCATACGTCATTGTGCATCCCTTCACACCAAAGGAGGCTTCCTTATTAAATTCTTCCAGTGCCAGGGGTGTTACTGTGTCTTACTAAGGGGTAAGACTTGTGTGAGAGTTTGCATATGAACCCCTTCACTAGAGCAAGTGAAATGGTGAATTTGAAACGGCCAGAAAAAATTCTTAGCAAAGCAAAGCCACAGGACATTACTTTGTTTGGGAAAATTTAAAGACATGTGATCTCAGGGTGCAAGGAGCCTGAATTTTTCTTAGGAAAGGGACAGAGGTCTAAAAGCTTCTGTTACAAATACAACAGCAGATGAGACTGAGCCTCAGAGCATCAGGAGATGCCAAACCCATGCCAGGGGATGCTGAGCCCTTCCCTGGTGTGCCAGAGAGGGCTGGGCAGGCAAGGGAAGAGTGCAAGGTGGCTTTTCCCCCCCTGGCAGATCCAGACTGGCATCGGGAGGCTGATCCTGAGGGAGGAGATGAAGGCTCGGTCCAACTCCTACGCAGACCCCTGGACACCCCCTCGCAGCTCGGCCAGCAGCAGGGAGGCCCTGCACACCCTGGGCTACGAGGGCTCCCTCAATGGCTGTAAGGCTGTCCCTGCCTGTCCCTCTGTGCCACCCCAGCCCCTCGGGAGGTCTGCGGGGTGGAGAGGGAAGAATGGGATGTGGAAAGGAGCTGGGATCTCCCATGGAGGGTGTTTTCCTCTCGGGAGGGCTCCGTCCATTCCCTGTGCCCCAGCTGGGATTGGGGCATTGCCCAGGGGTGTGTGGGCAGCCTGGAAGTGCCTCATGGAATGGCTGAAGGATGAGCCTGGGGTTGCTGTGACCTGCTGTGGGCTGGCACCTGCTGGCACTGCTTGCACTGCTCCTCTGCAGAGCCCCCAGGGCACCCAGCCCTGCCCTCGGGCACACGGCAGGACTGGGGGGGCACCTCAGAGCCTGGCAGCACAGACATGGACAGCACCTGTCCATTCCATGCCCCCCATGGCACATCTGCCCTCACGGAGCTGTGTGGGGATGCTCAGGGAGCCCCTCAGCCCTGCGGGCTCCCCAGGGAGGATGTGTGGGGCAGGGAATGGGCAGTTGTGCATGGCATGGGGTGCTTGGCCCTCCCTGACTGCTCTGCTCTCCTTGCAGCTCCCCGAACCCACTACCTGGCTGACAGCGGTGAGTGCCTGACCTGAGCCCTCCCCAGCTGCTCCAGGGTTCAGAAGCTGAGCTGGAGGAGGTGCTGGGACCTGGGAGGGGAGAAGGGAAGCAAAGAAGGAGCCCTTGAAAGCCTGGGTTAGGGTAGAGAGAAGCAGGGCAGAGAGGGTGAGGTGGGGAAACTGAGATGGGAGAATGTGTTGCTCTGAAGGGTGAGGTGGGAGGGCTGCCCCAGGAAAGGGATTTTGGGGAGAGGAATATCAGCACGGGAGGAAGCCAGGCTGGAAATGAGCTGGAGCTGGAAGGAGACAGAGCTGGGAGCACAGAGGCAGAGGCTCTGTCCTGGCGTGTGAAGCTCATTCCTGCTTTTTCCCTGATGCCCCTTGGTGGCTTCCTTGCAGATCCCCTCATTTCGAAGTCGGCCTCCCTTCCTGCCTACAGGAGGAACGGGCTGCACAGGGTAAGTGCATTCCCCATCCTCCCAGGCATTCCTTACTCTCCCAAGCTCCTCCAAGCCCCCCCAGTGCTCCCTTTCCATGACTGGGATGACACCAGCATCCCTTCTGTCACTTCTGCCCTGTGCCAATCCAAAAAGGGCCTTACTGGGCTCCAAAGTGCCCTGTCCAGGCAGTGTCTGCCCTGAAACTCCCACAGGACAATTTCCAGAGGGATGCTGGTGTTGCTTTTCAGCAGAAGAGCTTTGCTTTGTATCCTGGGCTCAGGATTTGTTGGGATCAGGAGCTCTGCTCCTGCCTCCGTGTCACCTGTCCGTCCCTCTGTCCCACCCAGCACAGCCCCAGCCCCTCGGGAGGGAGATCTGCAGGGTGGAGAGGGGAGAATGGGATGAGGGAAGGGCTGATGAGAGGTGCTGGGCATGGAGAGGACACAGTTCTCAAGCTGGGTCAAGGGAAAATTAGGTTGGATATTAGGAAAAAGTTTTTAATGGAAAGAGTGGTAAAGTTCTGGGATGTTCTGCCCGGGGAGGTGGTGGAGTCACCATCCCTGGGTGTGTTTAAAAAAAGCCTGGATGTGGCACTGGGTGCCATGGGCTGGGTGAGGTGTTAGGGCTGGCTTGGACTCGATGATCTTGATAATCATTCTGTGAATTCTGATCTTGATAATCCTTCTGTGAATTGCGTGAATTCTGTGACCTGGGCTTGTCACTTCACCTCCTGTGCCTCGGTTTCCATGCTGGTGGGTGGGGACCTTGGTGTAACCCCCCGGGGACGTGAGAAAAGCCACTCGGAGTGTCCGTAGGAGCCTCCCTCTCACCATCCCTCTGTCCATCCCTCTGTCCATCCCTCTGTCCATCCCTCCCGCAGCCTCCCAGCGCTGAGCTCTTCCACTACGACAGCACGAACGCCGTCAACTGGGGGATGCGAGGTACGGGGGACACAGGGCTGGGGACCCCCGGGAGATGCTGTGGGGCTGCCAACCCCCCCAAAGGCTGCTCTGGGCAGCGGAGGAGGGGGCTGCAGGGAGAAAGGGGGGACACGGGTGAGGTCCCTGCAGCCTCCAGGGGAGGGTGGTGGCAGCAGAGTGGCTCAAATCTCGCTTTTTTCTCTCCCCACAGAGTACAAGGTAAGACCCTTCTGCTGCAAGGAGTGGCCACCAGGCAGAGCTGGGAGTCCCAGGGATGTGTCCATGTGGGCCCAGGCTGTTCAGAGGGAAGTTTTGCCCTCTGCCTTTATTTCCCCTCCATCCTCGAGCTGACTGAGCCCGGGATTGTGGGTTCAGAGCAGAATCCCTCCCCTCCTGCCAGGTCCCAGGTGCTTGGCTGAGCAGAATTGTGCCCTGGGTGAGGAACAGAGCAGGGGGTTTGTGCTGGTGGTTGGTGAGATGCTCCTGCCTCTGCTCTGGGCAGCAGGGTGGGTTCAGCGGGGGACAGGCGTGACTTTGGACCGTGTCCCTGTTGTGAGGAATGGGGCAAAGGCTGGCAGTGACACCAGGGACAGCTGTGGGAGGAGCAGCAGGGCCTTGGTGGGGTGGCAGAGGGGGTAAAGGAGTCAGAGCAGCCTCAGAAAAGGGTTGAAAAAAGCAATTTGCAGTTTCACATGCAGCCCCGGAGAAAAATCGTGCTCACTCTCATGCCTGGGTCATTGCTGGTTTTGCAGAGTGAGCAGGTTATTCCAGAGCCACCACGGAGATCCAGGGTGGATCAGAGTCACCCTGAGAGCAATTCCCAGCTCTCCTTGTCCCATCCAGTCAGCTGTGCCACCCAAACCCTGTTGAATCCAGCAGGATTCTGTCCATTGTACCTATATACTGTCCATTCTCCATGCTTGCCCTCATTCCCAAGTGTGCCCCAAGTATCTCGTGGCTGCCCCACGGTGTCCCTGTCCCTGTCCCTGTGCAGATTTACCCCTACGAGCTGCTGCTGGTGAAGACGAGGGGGAGGAACCAGCTGCCCAAAGACGTGGACAGGACTCGGTTAGAGGTGAGAGGAGCCTTTTTCACTGGGGACAATCGGGGCACAGAGGGACCCGACCCCAGGGGTGGCCCTGGCACGTAGTTTGGCTGGTGGCCATGTGAGGAGCATCTCCACATCTCGTCAGGAGCACACTGAGGAGTGTCAGGGCTCTGTCACAGTGCTCCTGCTGCTCCCCTGGCCGGGCAGAGCTGTCCCCTGTGCCTTTGGCAGGGGCAGGAGGGAGGCAGGTCCTGTCCCTATCCCGAGGGAAAAGGGTTGACACAGCTTGTGTCACCCCAATGTCCCAGCGGGCAGGGAATGCCCTCAAACCCCCCCTGCTTGGTCCTGGAAGGTGCCCAGCTCTCCCAGCCTCCCGTTTGTCCCCAGAGACACCTGTCCCAGGAGGAATTCTACCAGATCTTCGGGATGACCATCGCCGAGTTCGACCGCCTGGCGCTGTGGAAGAGGAACGAGCTGAAGAAGCAGGCCCGGCTGTTTTAAATGCAGTGCACTATAAATATATACATACCTATAAATATATACATAGAGAGATCTCTATATGGCAGCTCTGTATGATTCTCGGGGCTGTGCAGGGCACAGGGGCCCTCTCTGCCCCCCTGAGAGTGAATTGGAGTCTTGCAGATCGTTTGGTGCTCTGTGTTTCCTTTCCTTTTGCAGCTTGATTTCTGTATCCGTGCCTGGGCTCTTCCCAGACTTGGGGTCTGTCACTGCTGCCCCACAGGGACACGAGGGGAGGATTTTCCTACAGCCACAGTGGCAGGGGCTGGCAGAGAGCAGGGGTTTGGGATAGGGGTGTCCCATCCCCTTCTGCTCAGCTGGGATGTGGAGTAGGGGTGGAAAAGGCCCCGGGCACAATGGCAGGAAAGTGGGATCTCACTCCAGGCTCCTTAAATCCATCCCTGCCTTTACTGGGGACGCTTCAGGATCTGAAATGCAGAGTTTGGGGCAGGGGATAGAAGTGGTGGAGACCCCACGGGGCCAAGGTGAGACTCTGAGTCCCAATCCCTCTTGGGCTGCTGGCTTTCCCTGCAAAGCCTGGGTTGCTCCAGAGCCAGTTTGTCCTCCCAAGGTGCCAGAACAGCCACTTTCCATCCCCAAACCCAGCCCTGCTTAAGTGGAACAGCCAAAGCCACCTCCTGCCTTGTGCAGTTTCTTGCTGCTCTTCAGGTTTGTCCAGGGCTGAGTATTCCAGGATATTCCAGTTGGGAGCTGGGGGAAGGCCAGAGGAGAGGAGTGGGAAATGCAGGTCCCACTGCCTGTTGGACCCTCCTGGGTTGTCCTGAATTCCCCATCACAGCTGCCTGAGTCCCTGCTGAATCCCTCTGGGAATGAAGGCAATTCCCTTTACTGCAATCTCAACATGTTTGTATCCCAAACTCTATGGGATAACTTTTTTTTTTGGTTTTTTTTTTTTTTTCATAAAACAAATACGGTTGTTTCCACACAAACCTCTTCCCTGGTGTCTGTGGTGCTCTGCTTTGCTATTTGCTCGTCTTGCAGGATTTTCAGGCATACAGGAGGATTGAACAATCCCAAAAACCAGGCATGGGAACTTTGGGGTATCAGCAGAGTTCCTCTGAGAGGACAGTGCAGGTTTTACTTTCACTGTGCCATGGGCCACATTCTGGTCCCCTCTGAGCCCCTCCTGTCCTGGTGTCCCCTTGGAATGGATTCCATGCCCTCCCTGCCCAATTTGTTGCCCAAAAATCCACCAGCAAGTTCCCCTTGCAGGGGTTTGCCAGAGTTCAAGGGGCTCAGGGCAGGAGTTTTCCCCTCAGCAGCATCTCCAGCTCTGGAGCTTTATGCCAAGGAAAGGGCTGGGGATTGAGGAGAAGGTGGCAACATTGCCCTGGGAATCGATTGCTCATCTGCTTTAGTACAGCAGTAAATGAGCCGAGTTTATTTATAATTATTTCACTCATCCAAAATAGGGCTCTCTAAATGAAACTCAACTGTTTGTGGCTGGAGGAATCCTCCCTCTCCAGCAGCAGCTCCAGTGAGAAAGCCTGGGGATGTTATTAATAACAATAACACAGTAACAGCAGGATCTTTTCATTTCCAAAGCATTTTATGGACAGTAACTCTCCTCCACAAGGCAAAGGTGAGGAAACTGAGGCAGGGCTTGGGGTTTTTATTTCTCAGAGCCAGGGCAGCCTCTCCAGCTCCATTCTGGGGCAGCAGACACTCCAAGGGTCCCTTCTGGTGTCCCATGGCCCTGGGGCAGGGATACCTCAGGTGTCACCACTCTGCAATTCCCAAAGCAGCCTGGAGTGTTGGCAGCCACAGCCCCAAAGGTGATTCCAGGTTGTGGAAAAAAAACTGGGACTCAATCCAGGACGGAGAGACCATCAAACACCACCCGTGCAGGAGCTGCTTCCCAGCTGGGTGTGTGAGGGTGCAAGGGAGTGGTCCTGGGCTGAAATTGCCCTAAAAGGGGAATTTCTCCAGGCCAGCTGCTAATTCACACCTGATATTTCAATTCTTTTTTTCCCCAAGTGATAAGAATTGGGTACGTGTGAAACCTCATCCCATTTCTGTCGCAGCCTGGGTTGTCCTGGCACTGCCAGGAGCCTCTATCCTTGCTGCCACGCCTGGGAGGGACACTGTCACACGTGTGTCACATGTGTCACACGTCCCACAAGTCTCCCAAGCCCAGGTCTGTGTGCTGGGGAGGGACAATGACAGTGGCATGGCCACGCTGGGCACAGGAGGGAGCAGATACGGAGGGGATTTTGGGGAGGGCGAAACAAGGCGGGAGGGCTCAGGGGGATTTTTTTTTCCCCTAAACCGAACTCGCTCCACCCGGGCAGGTGCAGGTCGCGCACTCAAGACCCTCCACCTTTCCCAGGGTGGGTCTGTGGGTGCCGATGGAGCGGGGGTGGCGGGGTGGCAGGGCTGTCCCCGCGGGCTGTCCCCGGTGCCGTACCGTGCCGTGCCGTACCGTGCCGTGCCGGGCCGGGCCGGTGCTCGGCGCTGCCGAGCGAGGGAAGGGAGGGAGGGGCGGATGAAGGGATTGGCCACCCCGAGCAGAGCCGGCCCCGCCGGGCGGCCGCTGCCCGGGACATTCGCCCGCCCGCAGCTCCCGGGGCGGCCGCGGCTCCGGACCATGGACCGGCTCAGCGGTAAGGGACGGCAATGGGACAGGGATGGGATGGGAATGGGAATGGGACAGAGACGGGAATGGGACAGGGACGGGACGAGATGACACGGAATGAGATGGGACAGAACAGGACGCGCATCCCGCCCCGAGCACAGCTTGGAGGGCACGGGGGATGCCCGTGCCAGGCGCAGGAATCGCGGGTCGCGCATCCCATCCCATCCCATCCCATCCCAACCCAGCGGGTCCATCCCCCTGTAGGACCCCGATCCCAGCGTGTCTTTGCTCCTCACCAGTCCTCCAGCAGGGCCGGCTGGGGCACGAACTGGAACCAGTTTCTCTTTGCTGGTCGGATGGGTAAAACGCCAGGAGCCTGCAAGGGAGGCTGTGGGGTGTAAGCACTTGTTAGGGGAAATTGTGGTGGTGGAAAGGGAGGTGGCGTTTCCCGATGGAGCTGATGGGGTTCAGAGGGTTTCCCTGCTGGGAGTCTGGTAAAGCCACGGAGGGCCTGATCCCCACCCTGCTGCATGGGGAGCAGCTGCCTTCCCGCACGTGTGTGATCCCCGCCTGTGGCATCGCGCTCACGGAGCTCCTGGGCTTTGATCTGGGATCTGTATAAACCTGCCAGGGCTTTGGGCCAGCTCTGCAGAGAAGGTCCCGGCTTTCTGCTGGGGCTGCCGGGTCCCAGAGGGAGCAGAGGGAGGTTTGCAGGGGGATTGCTCCTTGCCTGGGGCTGCACAGGAGGAGCAGGTGGTGACATGATGGAGCACGGGGGTGCTGGCCCTTGACCTGGCCTTGGAGGTGCTACAGAAACACTGGCCAAAAACGATAAGAGAGTGGCCAGGGGCCTCTCTGACTGCACGGGCTGGACCATGCTGGAGTGCCAGGGCAGCTCAGGAGTGCTGTGTCTGCAGTCCCGGGTCAGCACCACAAAGTCCCAGGGGTCAAGAGTTCCCCTTGCCGATGTAAAAGGATGGGGTGGCGTTTCCGCAGTGGAAACAGCTCCGAGGAGTTTGGGACTGCTGGAAACACAGGCACGGTGTCAGTGCCTGCAGCCCGGGAGGGGACAGGGACGGTGACAGGGACAGGGACAGCCAGCCCCTGTGGCTGTGTCCAGCCCGGGAGGGGACAGGGACAGCCAGCCCCTGTGGCTGTGTCCAGCCCGGGAGGGGACAGGGACAGCCAGCCCCTGTGGCTGTGTCCAGCCCGGGAGGGGACAGGGACAGCCAGCCCCTGTGGCTGTGTCCAGCCCGGGAGGGGACAGGGACAGCCAGCTCCTGTGGCTGTGTCCATCCCGGGAGGGGACAGGGACAGCCAGCTCCTGTGGCTGTGTCCAGCCAGAGTGGCTTTGCCAGCTCTGAAGGAGGGAGCTGTGGCAGGAGGGAAGAGTGTTGCCAAGTGACACTTGATGTCCCTGAGGACATCACTGCTGGGGACAGGGGGGAGCAGAGCATCCCCATTCTCCTGCTGTGTGAGCTGATGGGAAATGTCCTGTTTACACCTCAGCCCACCCCAAAAATCAAACCTGGGACCTCATGGCAGGGAAGGAGGGGATGCCCAGCTGAGGGAGCCGTGTCTGAGCATGTTTTGGTCAACATCTGCACAGGTTGACACTGCCAGGGAAGAGTTGTTTTATCTCCCTCGCTGGTGCCTGCCATGGCAGCGCCTGCCTGCTTTGTTTTGAGTGCTTGTGATGAATTGCTGTTGGCACCTGGATGGCTCTTTGCTAATGTAAACCTCCCCCAGCCCCTCCTGCTCATCAGCCAGAGCTGCTGGATCCCTCTGGGGGCTGTGACTGGTGGAGGGAAGGTTCCTTTCCCCAGTGAAAGGGCGAGTCTGGTGTTAGGCAGGAGCTCCGTGCCCATTCCCAGTCTGGCAGCCCCTTTCTTCACCTGGAGCTCTGCTGTGTCCTGATTTTATCATCTGCCAGCTTTTTCTCGTGGCCCAGCTCCACACCAGTGGCTAACTGGGGGCAATGGTGCTGTTGGCAGAGTTGTTTCAGGTTGTGCTGATGGAGAACCCATCTCCCAATGTGTGATTTGGGAGGCAATCCTTTGCTCAAACACGCCTGTGCTCACACATGGCTTCTCCTCCCTCATTAGTATCTCTTCCCTGACCTTTTGAGCCACCAGAATTTAGCTCCTGCCCCAAACTTATCTGGGCTCTAAATCCAGCAAAGCCGGCGGAGATGTGTCGGGGATAAACTTGGCTCCAGCTCGCCCACAGGAATGGGGAGGCTGCAGGACGGGTGGGAGGGAGCTGGGATCATTCCTGCCCTGCGAGCTGGCAGCAGGAATCCTGCCGGTGCAAGGAAGGCTCTGGGCTGGTGGGAAGCACAGCCCGGGCCAGCTGTTAGCACCGGGCAAGTGCCGAGCTCTGCTCCACATTGCAGCCATTCCTTCCTCTGGAAACTCAGCCACCGCCTGTTTCCAGCCCGGGG